CATTGAAAGCGCGATAACCCGCAGAAACTGTTGTCAACACAACACGCACTTTATCTGTGATCAGTGGAGGCAGTGCAAGGAAAATATGTTCAGGCCGTTGCACAACTATAACCTGTACGACATCATGGGACGAAGCTTGTCTATACGTGACTATATTTATGGTGGGCAAATACAAAGGCCTTTTATCAATTGCATGTCAGATTAGGACTGTAATTCACAGCATGAGGCGAGATTGAATAATAATGCTAACGTATGCAAAGTATGGGGAAACCTACGGATCACATGTTTGATATCTGCCTGTACTTCTTCTCACGGCAGCTGTTTACTGGACCAGACAAACAGTGATAACATTGTACCTCAAAGTATTCGTCACATCAAAGCACAATGTGACAGTTACAACACTGAACATGGACATTTATACATGCATGCTACCTCACACGCTCCTTGTCGGCGACACGGTGGACAATGGGGCGGCAAATGACTCGAATTCACAACACTGAACGCACCAGTAAAGCGTTCAAAAGGTTTGCGGCGGCATGAGGCAGGTTATTTCCAAACTGGACGCATCAGTGCCAGAAAAGACGTCCGATGCAATTCCTTTGATTTGTACCATGGTTCCAGAATTTTTTCCGCTTGTATAATTGACTAGCCTCTGTGTATTTTATGACAGGAGTTACCGGCGAGAAGCGGGATAAAGCACCTCTTCGCAAAATAACCCTGTTAGTATCACCATTTGATAGTGAATCATGCACAGGAAGTCATAAAATATTCGTTATGGTACAATTGACACTACTATATATGGCCGGAATATCTTGTAGATGTGGACAGGGTTTATTCCTTTCATTATACATTCTATTGTAATAAAGAAGAAGGGTCCTTTCATTACAGAACTTCATCTTGATATGAGCTGCAACTAAAATATCTGTTCAAAACCTAATCCATGATTGACGGAAATTGTGTGCAAAGTCACTGATATGGAGATGATGACGTCACCCACCAACGCCAGGTTTTGGCAGGAGGGGATTTAAAGTCCATTGGCCAAATGCCCCTTTCCAAAGGCAACAAAAAGCATCATTGCTGTCACAACACAGCCACTTGCTCATAACAGCTTATCGAACTTGACGAAATGGATCAACTTTACACCACAGTCATTGTTGAATGGAGTACATGAACAGTGTTTTGAAATTTTATGCTGAAACGTTTGATTCCAAACTACAATAAGAGGTCCAAGATATTTTTTATGGATTAAACTTCTTTTTAATTTCTCTCACAACGTTTCCTTCACCATTCAGGTCCCTTCATCCGAATTGAACTGTTCACCTGATGAAGGGATCCTAGAATAATCTCAAGAGAAATTAAAAAAAAAGTTTAATCCATAAAAAATATCTTGGACATCAATGTACAACTTCTAAATGCCACTGAAAGACATCATACAATAAGAGGTTTCTACATCAAATTTCAAGATACAGTCGGTTTATCTCCCAATTAGAACCCGTATGTTGGGAGTTAAACACATTGTCCAGCATGCTCAAAACACATGTAGATGGACATTAAAGTCTGTTGTATTCTTATATGCTACCATAATTACACTATGTTTTCATATCAGTTAGTGTTCCTAATGAAACGTTTTAACATAAGATTCAAATTGAGTTGATAACATACATAATAACATTTCTCCGACATTCAACTGACATAACCGAAATACTGTTCAAAGCGGCAGTTAACGTATTCTCACTCACATTTTAACAGGCTAAGAAAATAGGAAAGAGATCAGGATGTATATTATACTTGTATTTGAGAACTATCTTCTGTGTGCACGCCGGGTTTTACGTCTTACCTTCATAAATGCACCTTATAGCCCGTTATTATATTGTATTGTTCTATTTGATAATATCGTTTTAAAATAGCATGCTAGTTTTACTTTAATATCTGTGATATACTAGTAGTTTTACTGTTCTTCTTTTGATTTCTAATTGTGGAATAACAATAATTGTTCCTGCCGTCACGATATGGCTGAAATATTGCCAATGTGACGATAAATAACTCACTCACTTTATGAATATATATTGACGTGAGGTCTTACATATAAAAGGTCACTTGTAATCGACATAATTGAATTGTATAATGAGCCTGCTACTGGCCAATGCGACATCGTCTTTTTGTTGGTTATCCAGCCACGCTGGCATTTCTGGGAACACAATGGCCGATTTTGCCTTGCTAAGGCAGCACTCAACACATCTGTGACACCACTTCTGATCCCATACTCTGATTACAAAGCTGCTATCAGATCGTATATCCGTTATCTGATGCAAAAGAAGTGGGACACCCAGGTGGAAGTATTAATAAATTACATGAAATACGACACTATATTGTTTATACCTACTTGGGTTTGTCAGTCCAGATTTGAAGAGGTCATTATGCGACGATGTCGAGTTGGCCATCAAAGATATACTCATGAATACCTGTTAAAAGGTGAGGATCCTCCGTTTTGTATCTCTTCTGATGAAAGAATCACAGTCAAACATGTCCTGCTTGACTGCATAGATTTTTTTATCAAAAGGGATAAATATTTCAGCGTTAAAATTGTTAAGGATCTTTTTAATCTTAATTATCATTTAATTATTGAAAGTTAAAAATATATTGAACTACTTGATAAATTTTGATTGATGTGTTTGTATATAGATATATATTTTATTATTGGTAGTTTAAATTAGCAACTTGTTAGTGGCGGTATCCTCAAAGGTGGTTAAAGTACTGTAAAATTATTGTCCTCCTGAGAGGATATGTAAGTCCCAATACATTTGAGGTAAATTTAGTTCTACCAAACTTTTAACCGTAGTATATTTGTTGTTTTCAATAATGGCTAAAACTCAGTACAATCTCCAGCGGCTGAAGGGATGGTGTAAATCCAACTAGGGTCCATGCAGGTAGGAAAAGTACTGTAAGTCCCCTTGGACCCTAGTGTGCTGATCTAACTTCAGTTGTTGGCGATCTCTAGTCTGTTTTAATTTTTTGTATTGTCCAAATAATGCTATTAGTTTTAACTTTGCATGCTAGTTTTTTAAAGTTCTAACTGTGATAGTCTAGTTGTTTTACTGTCCTTTGACGACAGGTTTTATAATATATACATATTCTTTATAGACGTCAAATTTTATACCGTCATAATATGGCTGAAACATAGCCGATGTGACGTTCAATATTCACTCACTCACTCACTCACTCACTCACTCACTCACTCACTCACTCACTCACTCACTCACTCACTCACTCACTCACTCACTCACTCACTCACTCGATGAAGTAACTTCTATCTTAAACTGCATCATGCAAGTGTAAGAGGAAATTGTCCTATCTATCATGGAGTGCTAAACGACTGGCAGCTTTGTGTGTCAACAGGATCAGCCACATATTGGGAAGCCCGTGTCAAACAGACATAGACAACGACGTATGGAGTTCAAATGTACTTCCTGCTTGGTGGCCTCACTTATTTATTGAATGGTGATACAAAGTTTCCTGCTTGCTTTACATGCCGAGAACACGATCTGTTATGGTAAATCTAGTTATGGGTGTAACTGAAGCTACATTTGCTACAATTCCTTTGTGTGGTGTCTGTCGTGCTTTGTAGACAGAAAATAGAAAAAAGTGTTCGCGAGATAGATAAATATGTTTGAGTCACACATGTGGCCATGCTATGAATTTTCGCCATCTAAAATAATGACACGGTATACTATTTATCATTGTTAAAACGTTTCGATAACACTTTGCAAAGATCATATATTAGTCGCTGTGAACCCATGAATACAAAGAACCATTTACAGAGTGGCCAGATGAAACTTATGTTCCATTTAAATATGCGATGACACTTTCTAAGTAAAGAACAGATTCTAGTTCTTTTTGGTTAAGTCCCATGAGGAATTCGAACCGACACAGTCTATGTGTACAAGGGAAATCCAACAGCACGTGTACCATGCGTGTGCAGTGATTTTGGTCCAGGAGACCCAACCGGTCGCAGTTAAAAAATGTCATGGTGGGATATCGTGGAGGTTAATATTGTTTTACTCCGCATTGATCAACAACATTATGCAAGCGTGTGAATAATTGCGTCTAGATCAAGCGAACCAGTGACAGATGGTTTGAACAAACATTCGTAAGCATAAGCTATAACCCATCTGTATTGTCGAATCTCATGAACACAATGACGATAATTTAGTGTGCGTTTCAGTACACATTACAGTAGTTTGTAACAGGAATATTATTATGATTTTATCAACAAATGTCAACTAGTTACATTTAGAGTTACCTCCCTTCCTTGTGAAATAGATGATGAAAGGTAATAGTAACACTAAAACCATACTCGTCGCTAACTATGTCAAATCCTGCTTCAAAGGCAATATCAAGCCCCATTTGCCTGGATAAGTTTGAATCACGTCAATCTGAATCCCTGTTAATCCAAACCCCATCCACTCTGACTCCTAGGAGCGCCCCGCCTCCCTCCGTTATTCTGACACGTCCCCCCGTCAATTCGTAAAACCGTGGCGATGAGAACTGGTACACTCCGCTTATGTAAGATGTAGTATAAGGGTAATAAATCATCTTACCTTTGCAGCAACACCTGTACATTATGCATGACAAGTGGATCGTGAAGAGAAGAAAATATAGTTCAACAGATTAAATGTACCCAATGTCATGAAGTATTATCAATCTAAGTGTTAATTTGTTGTATGCCATTGGACAGGCATGTGTACAGCGATCTCTACAAATTGCAGAACCTGTGTCCACCTTCCCCTATCATTTGTTGCATCCAGCTTCTTTACAACCGATTTATTCCAACAACAACAGCTCACACATCGGTAGTTCATAGAAACAATTACAGTGTTGAGAAATCTTGGTTGATGCATGTCATCATATTCCACTTGCGCAGATCGATGCGCATAAGAACAATCACTGGACTGTCCGGTCCAGATTTGAGTGTGGCGATAAACAATAAACAAACAAACACACACATAGAAATGCTTCATTGTTATACAATTTGAGCAAACAATCAACATCAAAGGTTCAACAATCATATGTTTACGTAAAGTTTTATAGCGCCAGGTTCACAGAAAATGTACATCACTGGTTTTCAAAGTTACAACCATTTCACATCCTCAAGCTCATGTGTCTTGGAGAATCTACAACATATACAAAATGTACACAATAAACATGTAGGACTGGAAAATGTTTTTGGGTCAACAGATAACTGTGCAATTTTATGTAAAGACATTGGACAAAAATAGAAAATGTTTCACATAATTTTAAAAGATGACATACGAGAAAGGAATGGTAACTGACAACTCTTTATCTAATATCAAAGCTGCTTCGAGTTACGAAATGTACTTAGATATTTTACATGGGGTCTTAAAGAATAACTCGCCATGCTCAGAATATCTGCTCTCACGTTAGAAACAGAAAGTGTTCATTATGCTGATATTACTAGAGACTGCAGATATTGTAGATTGTAGACTCTCTGAATTTAATTTAATCAATGATTAGTTTCAAATGTATCCAAAGTAATAGATTTAGATATTTTACTGAATATGTCTGACACAAACCAAGTGAAGATAAATTAAATAGTTGCTAAAATGTAATCGTATAACTAAAAACATAATCACCTCTAAGTATATCAAAGCCTGCTTCAAAGCAATCTCAAGATCCATTTACCTGAATCCCGTCAGTTTGAACCCCATCAATCTAAACCTCTGTCAGTCCAAAACCACATCAGTCTGTCTCCCTGGGAGGCACTCCCCCGTTAGTCTGAATGCCTGACATTCCGTACCCCGTCAATCTGAAAAACCCTGGCGATGAGATCTAGAGGCTCTTCTGTTGTAGGGTGTAGTATAACTGTAATAAATCATCTTACCTTTGCAGCAACACCTGTGCATTATGTATCACAAGTGGATTCCGGAGAGATGAAAATGTTCAGTAGAAGTAATGTACAAATATCTAATAAATTATTATTAATGTTACTGTTAAAGAATGGTCAGTTATATATTCTACTATTCTACTACTATAATAGTTATACCATTCTAATACTAATATTGTATGGTAAGATTTAACACTGCAAGGCAAAATCGTAAGGCCTATGTGCTATGTTATTTGAATATTTGATGAATGTGCGTAATGAACATTGATGGATCAGGCTAAAGGTGAAAGTATAAGGATTGACGCAGAGAGATCCACAGCTGAGAATGGTAGTAACAAGCAGCTAGTAGTCTCTTCAACCTTGTAACCTTATAGGATGACCGTTATATAAATGTAATCTTTTTATACAATAAAACAATTCTTGCAAATATACTGTTCACTAGGGCAACCTTATAGTTAAAGCTTTCGCTCGCCACACAGTTGACACTTATGGATAGGTATAGGATATTCTTTATGCGGTCTTGTTAGCGTAGATAAGCTGGTGAATATTGACGATAGAAAAGGTGGAAAAAAATCAATTCTGGGGTTAGAGGTCAGTGACAAAGGGAGACAAACGCTGCAGTAAGTGTACAACAAGTGAAAGATGACATAACTGATCGTTGAATGCACGCATCCCCTTTCATCACTTCACACACAAACACTTCTCTCAGGATGTCCCCTGAATGTTATCTACATGTAAATAGTCAAACTGTGAGGAAAACATCGTAAATATCCAATGCACACAGTGACCGCAGTTTAAATATTGAACATGTGAAAAAGACATTGTAACTGTTCAATACACACGTAATGACAAAAAGTTACTTGATCTAATTTCCATTTACACTTCAATGACTAAACTTGCTGACAATAGTGGCAATGGAGCCGTTCGTGTCAGAAATCCATTGACACATTTGTACATTTCCGCGCTCCTGCATTTGAAACTCCACATAACATCATACTAAATCTATATATCTTTTTGAAGTGAAGAATCACACAGACTGTATTTGCATCTATGCGTATTTGATATATCTACTAATACATAAAATATGTATACCTAAGGTTTGTTTGTCACACTGAAACATCTAACGTGTCGTCACCAACACCTTTTCAAATTCAATACAAACATAAATCTGCAGAACACACAGTTCCACGCTGAAAACATTTATCTATTGCCGTTTATATCCTGCCAAAACTTTTATTATTTTTTCAAAATCAGACTGCAACTAACCTGCAGTAGCACGTGTGATTGGTGGATCAGCTGGGAACTGGTAGCCTCCATTAAAAATGTCTGTGGTAAACCCATACAGAGCGAATCTGTTGGTAGAGCGGAGAAAGTAAAGGCCGTTTGAACAAGTTGTTCCCACTTTGTAATCACTGCCAGGAATGTCCACCCAGTCCACTGTAGCAGGGATCATGTCACCACTAAATACTTCAATATGTGTCACGTGTTGTATAGTCAATATGTTTACACAGCGTGCAGTATATATCCGTGCTTTGTTCAGGAAATACTTAACTTGTGTAACAACAACAAACCCCTGAAATGTTGTGTTTGTGTGTTTTATACACAAGGTTGCGATGACAGGTCTTGTGGTATTAAAGTGCAGTGTCTCGTCGTACAGGAGGTTTTGGCGAAACACACGGTTTCCCCTGCTACTGCATCAACTGCATTCATGTGCCAGCAGGTAGCTCAAACCTGGGAGAAATTGACATGGTTTGTTAGAAAGTGCTTAGAATGGATAACAACGGTGCAAACATGCTTCCTACGACTGACATTGTCAGTACATCACTCGTCAAAGCATTTTGTGTATCTGAGGTTGATAAACATTATTTTGATGTGTATACAAACTAGGGCCCCGTACCTCAAAGCGACTGGAGCGCTACGACTGTCGTAAGTCTATGTTAAAGTAATCGAATTACGATCATCTTAGGGTTACGATAGCTTTGAGGAACAGGATCCAGGTGTGTGCTAACATGATTGCTTTCTAAAAGACTTCGATTATTGATTGTCAAACGACGATAATTACTCCACCACATACATATATAAAACATACATAGACGAATTCGATACGCTATGAGGCATTCCTAAATGTGATTGGTTTATCTGGAGTTTGCTTTCTTTGATTGCAGGTTATGTTATATACTGCACAAAAATAGTTAGGAATATATGTAAATTTTGAAATTATGAATAATGATCTATTTATTCATTAACACATTCATAAAATATCAATTATAAAAACACCAATATTCCTAACCTATTTTGTCCAGTATAGTTTGTGCGACCTGGAAGACATTTGGTTAGAAATGTACCAATGGCTTTGAAAGTCTGAGTGTTATTTAATGGGTCGAGGGGCGTTTGTAGTGTTAGGTGGGTGTTAGTGTTCAGTAAACTCAGGAACACTTTTCTGTGTAGTGTGTTCTGTGTTGGAGAACACTGTTGTAGGCACTGACAATGGAATGATGTTAAATCCAGAATCTGTGATCCTTTTGAGAGTTTGTGTAAACCAAGCAGACTCTCGGAACTAGTTTTGGTAAATAAGCATACACTTGGCAAAATCTCTCATATTATTCATTCCATTTGTTGGTATGTAAAAGGATTGAATCAAGAGATTGTATATATGTGGAATAGTAGCTTCTGATATTGTTAAACATGTCATAATGTCTTGTACAAGTTTCAATGATCTGAGAAATGAAATATTTGAAAGGATATGTGATTATATCAATGTCTAGTGTTTTTTCAATTTTGGGAAAATGATCAAGATGAAATAATTGCTGATTTGCTTGGTGGATCTTGTACAACATTTGGTAATTCAAATATGACAGAATGGGAGAATGTTATGTTATAAGTGTCTGATTATGACTGTCACATAAAATTATCTTATGTTTGACAGAATTGTTTAAAATACACACACTACTTTCGTTATATACTGCTTCCATCTGGATATTCCTGCAGGCGTTTTTTCAGTGACGTGGATAGGCCAGAAAGAACAGGTACTGAGACCAATGAGCATTCTGATTACATCGCCCAGACGATGTGTGCAGCACACGCCATATTGTACTCAGCATATTGCTACGATGTCAGGTAATAGTGGGTTCGCGAAATCTCTTTCACAGGGTTTCGTTCATTTGACTTGCGTGTGCTGTGCAACAGCTAATTTTATAAGCTGACTGCAGGGTACACACATATTACTACAACGCGCGCGTATCGGGTATTCATAGCCATGGTTCACAGCAGGGAACACAATGAGGGAATCAAAACCAGGTAGCTACATGGGTTTGACATCAGAAAAGCATACAGAAACAAAACCCGCGCGTTGAAAGTTAATTTAGAAAACGTTTAAAAACACTATCGATACAATTTACCCTTTCTAGAAAACTGTAGGTAAAGGGTATAGAAATGTAATTTGAATAAAAAACCTGGAATTGTTTTAAAAGCGTACGAATTCGCCAAAATATAACATACCGTCAACTCTTTCAAGAGCCACCAGGAGAAGTGCCACCTCTATGAAACGCCCCATTGTCACAGAGCTGGGTCTGTACCGCATAGTGCCGTAACGACGCCCCGTCTGACAGGGTGTTGACGCATCATCAGGTATAAATACATTACAGGTGATTTTGTGGGATTTGATTGACTTACCACACAACTCTATGCGTTTGCACAAAAACCGAAAAAGACATAATGCCACGAAATACTGTTTCCTAGTTGACATTGTTGCTGCCTTTATTGAACTAAACGGTGTGACTATTTTTTTGGTGAGTTAGCAATTGGACAGGCAGTTTTGTGAAGTGTTATTGTTGAAATATTTATTTGGAAGGGTTGATTTCAATCTATTTTATCACGGTATTGACGTATTTATTTTATTCTAAGATACACAAACATACATCACGTGAGCTAAAGCAACTGTTGGCCAAATAAGGTGTTGAATACAACTGTATGGATAACCTATGTATACACCGTGTCATTGCTTTTCCTGGCAAGTGTTCAACTTTACCACTTTGGTGAAAGCAACGAGCATGGGTCTGGTTCTGACACACCTAGAAACAAAATCGGGGTTAATCGGGATTCGAACCAACGATCACTGGTTCCTGGTGGACCAAGGTACACAACTCTGTTCAGTGAATTCCTGTTGCTTACATAGCAGTGCCACAGGTGTCGCAGAGGGAACATGGTGTTTCAATATTGGTTGATTATGTCATCAAATATGTTATCTAAGGCAGATTTTGTTTCCACAAATTTAATCATTATTATAGGATATTTATATAGCGGACATATCCATGTATCAAGTACATGCTCATAGGCGCTGACATTTCCCCTCGATTACTGGATGTCGATCTCAACGGCACGTCGTACTATCAATCTCAACTTTCATGTTGAGAATTAACAGAAGGACGAGTAACTGTTTTGAGAACGTGTATGTATGGTAACAAATAAGAATATTTAAATATAAAAAAACTTCACACAAAATTTCCAAACTGAACACTTATTATGGCGCCGAGTTATATAACGCAGCAAATCTCCACATCCACAAGGAATATTTGCCAAAACAGTCAGTTGTACGATTTCGACTTCATGTGAGCGTGTGCTATTTATCAATCCCTATCAAATGTTGATGACACCCAATGTTCCCGAAAAGGTGAACGTATCCTGCTCAAACAGCGCACTTGTCATAAACACACGCAAAGGCTAATCAATTGTTCACCCAGAACTAATTCGTAAGTATAGTACAAGTCAAAATAGGAAATCACACGGGACATCTTTATTGTCACTGGTGAGTGACATCACGAACTCTTCTCCACGTGTCTACTTTAACACGTTTAGAAGGCTTTATTCAGGCCTTGCGAGATGTAAGAGTAATATTTGCCCATTCATTGTCCACTACCGCTGACAAGGTACAATGAATGTATAAATTGTACTGTACTGTCACATTGTGTATCAATGTTACGAGTCCTTTATAGGTACAATGTTATCACCATTGACCTGTTCCAGTGAACAGTTGAACTGAGACCAATAGGCATATATGAAACACGTGATCAGTAAGTTTCCTCTACTTTACATGGCAGCATACTTTGGTATTATTTAATCTTTCCTCATAGTGTGAATCACAGTCCTAATCTGACCCTGTCTCGTTCCACAAAACGACCTTTGCTCGACGATTGCTGCAAGCCTGTATTGCTTGGTTGGCTGGTAGGTTGGTTGGTTGGCTGGTTGGTTGGTCGGTTGTTTATCGCCACACTCGGCAATACTACACTTGTATGGCGACGGTCTGTAAATAGTCGAGTCTGGACCAGACAATCCAGTGATCTAACCCGGATCTTTACGGGTTACAAATTTGCATTTGGGAATGACGCTAAGATCGTCGTAGCGCTAAGATTGTTTTATGGAAACGGGCCTTTGCACTTTGTGACTATATGTTATAAAAATCAAAACTTTGCTTGTCTCGAACTACGGATATGTCTAGTTACGATTTTAACACGTGCTGGTAAAGTAACGTAAACAAGCTTGGCAGACCAGTGACATCTGAACAGCACTATACCCGGGGCTTTTAGGTAAACTCGGGATGTCGGAATGAGAATCAGTAACATTACTACCTGCCGATAAGTGTTTTTGTCAACAGGATACAAACACAATTTGATATTTCTTCAATAATGGAAAAACATGATTTTCCTCTAGAAGTGCTATATTTAGAAACGAGGATAAAATGTTTATCATTACTATTATCCGTGATCTCATGATCAACACGTGACATTTAACGTTTCGGCACAAGCGAGTAATGAAGAATAAATGCAGAGTTATGGCAAAAGATCTAGAAAATGAGTGTAAATAATCATAACGATTTGTTTTGAAAAGTAGTATTATGGGTCTTTAGCTAGTGGTGATTTCAGTCCTTACACATATAGATGTTATATTCAAGTGAGATTTATCAACACTGCAACTCTTGTTTGGAACGATGACGTTTATGGAGAGAGTCAAGGAGGAAATCGATATCAGTTATTGAACTTTTCTTCCTTGATCATTTCAAAAGCATATCTGGCTTTAGTGTTTCAGCTTTTGTTTCTCACTAAAAGATGCAAGCTGTTGCTGTAAAAACTAGCAAAGTTCCATTTTTCAAATCCTTAGTTTTAGGCTGTTCAATCTTGCCATTTATTGTTAAACTCGAGAAAAAAGATCTTGGTCGACTAAATATACATGACTTGAGGTGAAATCTTTTTCTGCTACCATATTATGTGAATATTATTGAAATTTGAGAACACTCCTTTGACGTACATTAAGTTGTAAAGGGTCAATGTGACGTTTGTTGGAGGTCATTATATACAAAGTGAAACTAATTTTTGACTGTCAGACTCCTTGAACAGATAATATGTGCAATACGTACATGTTATTTGAACAAACACGAGGGTAGCATCGTGGTTAAAGTGTTCGCTTGTCATACCAAAAGCCTGGGTTTGATTTGCCTCATGGATACACTATGTAATCCTGAATCGTTTTTCTTTTCTGGTGTTGAACCACTTCTTTATTCGGGTGATGCGATGTGTCTATACAGATTCTTGTATCGTTGTCAAGCAGGTGATCCAAGAATCTGAATCGAAACGTCACCTGCTTGACGATACAAGAATCTGTATCGGAAAGTCGCATCAA